TGTAAAACAGGCACATCATTACTTTAGTTTTTAAAATCCTTTTATTTCAGATAAAGCATGCTGCTATATACAGAAAAAAGTGAGGGATCAAAACAAGAGCAATACAGAATGAGCAGCACTTTGCCTGAAACTTACAACATGCTTTTAAAAACTTAGTACATGAATTGTCTCATATATTCTTTTTACTTCTAAGCCATCTCTAACGAAGTGTCACCTAATCCCCTTTTCTTCACAGTCTCACAGCTGCCACATTCCACCTCTATCTTTCTCCCCAAGACAAATTCTGTTTTCAAAGGGAAAACTATAAGCAATGTTGCCAGCAGTGACTTTTAACAATATAGCACATTCAAGAAAAATAAACTTATCACATCTACGGTCTTATCTGAAACATTTTTTAAATATTGAAAGAAATTAAAAGGACTATGTATTTAGAACCTTTCAGCTAGGCTTAGTAAGTTTTTCTTCCCAACTATCTAGCTCCAATTTGACTTTCTTACAGCAGTCACACTCTCTGGAAAGGTATATCTCCCCTCAACCCCCAAGAAAATCTGACAATCATTTCTCTTGTTGCTCTTTGTATTTAAATAAAGTACAATGGCTACATCTTTCCCCCATCAATACTTTAAAATTATATTTTATCAGAAGGCAAAAAGAAATCCACTTTACATTGAAGATCATTTGTAGGTTTGGGTTTTTTTTGTTCTTTTTTTTTTTTTTTTTTGTGAGAGTGGAGAAATATCAGGCTAGCAACAGAAAACAATAAAGGCAGGCACTCAGAGAAAACCCCCTATCTTATGTCTTTACTGTGTATGTATATATATGATACCCCCAGGTTCTAACTCAGGAAAGCAGTTAATTCTTTAGTGTAATTTTATATCTTGCACATTTATTTTGTTACACATGGGTTTTTAACTTTTAACATTAAGGATTTGCGCCGATAGGCCGTGATGCCAGTTGCGCAATTTGGCAAAGCGTGGGCTGTTACGTTCCGTTTCAAACCTTTCCCTGTGGCATGGAGAAAGAGAGAGAGAAAGAAAAAGACAGAGAGAGAGAAAGAAGGGAGAAAGAAAGGGGTTAGGGAATGTGGCCACTACTCCCCTACTTTATAACTAGGGCAATGGCAATTTATTTGGATTTATGTTACCTCCCAAAATAAAGGCAAACTAGGCTGGGTGATCCTTTTCCAGAGAAATTTTGGAAAGCTTTTTAGATTTGTATTTTTGAGCTGTAATGTAACACAAATTTGTATTCCTTGGTTTTGGTTTTGTTTGACAGGGCTGCTTTTGCTAGAAATTCTCAGCATAATTCTACTGTTTTCCTGCCAGCAGACTCTCAGTATTTTTTCCAGCTGAGCAGGAAGTGAAAGTCAACATTGTACAAGACAAAATCAATGCAAACATTTCCTATCCTATAATATCTAGGTCAGCCTATATCTTTTCTTATAAGGACCATCGGCTGCAAATTTGAGCAATGTTTCCTCATAGCTTTTTTGCTTTTGTTAGAGATTAAGCAACGAGAACCTGAAATCCTGCAAATGTTGGTATTTAAATAAGTATCTCCAGTCATTTGAGTTAAAAACAGAACAACACAGAGGCAGAATCTGTGTAGTGCTGATCACTTCCTTCCAATATCTAAGCATTCTCAACTCCCATCAACTTCAATAGGAGAGAAGGGCACTCAGCACCTCACAGGTGGTGTTCTACTTCTTTCAGGGTTGGATCTTTTCTGGATACTGTCCTCTGGTTTAGGCCCCAGGTTTTTTAAGTTAAAAATATAAACAAAGGGAGGGGGGTGGAGCAGAGAAGAGAACTTTACAAAACCTATTGGAAATTAAAATGTTCACATGATTTGTGCATGTGTTTGTTTCAAAGCAGACATGTTCATTTCTCCTGAATGGCTGGTATCCAAACACAAAACCATTGTATTAATGCAGGAGAGCCAGAGAGTGAAACTGATTAGAGAAAAAGAAAATAAACAGACCAGGCTAGTTTCACTCTCCAAGCTTTACAAAGCACAAACAAAAAACCCCCACAGAGTAAATGGTGACAAGTACTTTAACTTTTTTAATTCTTCAGTTTCTAACAGCATAATATGATACAAATAACACTTCTAAGGGACTCTGTTGATGTATGATTTCTCAACTGCCACTTTATGCTTATAAAAATAAAATTATTCAGAATACCCCTAGCTGTGATGCTGCAACTTTGAGAGGTATTTTTTCAAAGCAATGTGCAGGGTAGTAGCTGTGCAGCTTCAACTGGATTTAATAGGAATCATGAAGTTTAAGAAATCCCTCATTTTTTTGAAGTTATATCCCTCCATCTCCACATACGGAAGGGTATTAATTCAAGAGATGTCTGTTTTACTGGCGATAGACAAATTACTTATCAAATTTTCAACAAAACATTCATAACAATCCCAATGCAAAGGAAAGGTTTCATAACAAATGGTAATCTTACATCAAAAGTACCTCAAAGTGCCTTTCATCCACTGCCACATGTGCCTGTGTGGCTGCCAGTATAACTTGAACAAAAGAGTCATAAAACACACTCATTAATATAAAGAGAAACAGGCATATTGCCATCTGAAAATTCCTGCACATTATGGGCTCTGTTCAGAGTACATGCCAGTATCTGTGACAATAGGCACCAAGTCTAGGGGTGAACACTTGCATTAATAATATAGGAAAGTTACTTGTGTTTTCCTTCTTTGAAAATGTCTAAAAGAAAAAGTAGACATGGAGCTACCACTAAGTTTGACTCAACCCTTATTATTGTTCACACTGAACAAAGCTGATACACAGAGAAGAGAGGAAAAGCACGAGAGAGAAGAGAGCACTCTTGGCAGGCATGACTTTCGACCAAAATTCTCCATTACATGAGAATTCTGACATTTTAACTTATGTGTACATGAAACTTTTCCATCAGGGATGGCATCTGACAGTCTGATATACAGCTCAAACCAATGGATCGCTAAAGAACTGCAAAGACTCCTGCAGTATTTGTACTTCCAGGGGATCCCTTCGCCTTTGGCTGCCCCAGAAACCCCCACTGTGGATTTCAAACCATGAAAGAGTAGCAATGTACAATGCTGCAGGGTCTGTCTACAGTAATTTATGCTGTTGGGAGCCTGGGGGTGGAGCTTACCATAATGCGCACCCGTTTATACCTCTGACCTTTCGTAACTAGGACCCTGTGGAGGGGTTTCTGCTGTATTGGGTAAGAGGGCAGAAGAAGAGGGGAGCATGCTGTAAATATGTCACTCCCTCCTTCCATGCCTTCCAAAACATGTGGTTCACTGTTCCAGGCCAATGGGGGTTGTGGGAAGCGGCGTGGGCCGAGGGATGTGCTGGCTGCTGCTTCCCGCCGCCCCCATTGGCCTGGGACAGTGAACCGCGGCCAGTGGGAGCCACGATCGGCCAAACCTGCGGATGCGGCAGGTAAACAAACCGGCCCGGCCCACCAGGGTGCTTACCCTGGCGAGTCGCGTGCCAAAGGTTGCCGATCCCTGGTGCAGAGACTTATGTGTTATTAACCAATTATTCTTTTAAAAATCTATCCAATTCCAAGTGGTTTTTTTCAACACCCAGGCCTTTCTATATGCATCTTCTATTTATGGACCACAGCTAAAGCTCACGACGGTCTACATTCTGCCCACAAACAGATGCAAGGGAGCCAAGCCCTTGCATTAGCAGACAGAATTTAGTTCTAGTGAAGGTCCTTCCTGTACATAGTGTTTGTTTGGATACTGCAGGATTTATATTAAGTTCCATTGAAGTTAACAGGACTTCAGTACACACTTGCTGAATCGAGACTTATAATGAGATCAACAGGAATTGTGTTGGCATATTGGAGGACAGAATTTAGTGCAAGGGTGGCACAGTCTCAAACTGATATGGAGGCATCCAGCTATGCAACTTTCAATGAACTGTTGTGGAACCTGGATGGGAAATACATCCAGTTGAAAATATATCCCTTGGATTTGTATTTTCATATTGTAAGTTAAAAGGTACGTGTTTTGCTCATCGACTCATCATTTGTAACCCTACATTACTAGGTGCAGAAGGATCAACAGTCCAAAACCTTGCATATAATCCATTTCATAATAACACAATTTAAATATTGAGTGGGCAAAATACCAGACAGATCACAAACTAAACAAGCTGTTTAAAATATTTTTGGCAAGATAGGGATGTGGAATATGTAAATAGAATACATCAGGCTAGGACCCCATACACTCTAGTTCAATCACAAGTTGCTGAACTAGATGTAGAAATCTCTGGGTAAAATCTATGGCTTGTGTTTATGCAGAAGTCAGACTAGATGATCATAACTGTTCGTAATAGCCTTACAGTTTATGAGCCTAGGAATGTGTAAAATCCTTACTGGCAGAACATTTGAAAATGGATATGTACTTTTCTCCAGTAGCAAAAGCAGTCCTGTATCCTCATACTGTGTATTATCTAAAAAAAAATCATTTTTTTCTGTTTCACATAAAATATATTCAAGTGATGATTATTCCATGTCTATAATTGGAAACAACTACATTACTATATCATGTCAGCTGAATCAAGTGCCAATCACAGGATCATCCAAATAAATTGCTCATTAAATTTCAACACTACCACAACATCATATATTTTCATCCAGTTACAGAATTGAATGCAGTCACATAGGGTCTGATCCTATCAGCCCAGCACAAACAGCACTCCCACTGAAGTCAATGGGAATTCCATGTGCAAAGAGCTTACAAGATTGAGTACTCATTCCAGGATTTTGTACTGTATTACACCTAACGGTCACATTGTTACCTTTTCAATCAAGCACTTCTTGCAGATTTCTAAGCCAACAGCATTTTCATTTTAGTGATTGTTGAGTAAATGTGTTAGAATATTTAAGAAAAAAATCTAGTTTTGTATTTTTATATTAATGCCATTTTAGAGCATTAGGTATTGGTTATCAGTAAGGAGAAGGCCATAATGCCTGCTGCTAGTTGCCTACCTTGATCTCCTCAGGGCTTCTTCATCCGGGTCTTGCACTGCAGAAGTGAAAATGTTTCCATTAAAAAAACCTACTAGATGAGGCCCACAATCCAACCCCAGGTTACCAGAAAAGCATAAAAGAAAATACAATCTAAGGGGATAAGCATGGCAGCTTTCCACAATTAGGTCATACAGAGATATAAAGTGAGCAAGAGCAACTCTGGCTTCAGTGGAATTTATAGGATCTTGTTTAGTTAATGATTATTATTAGCACTCACCACAATAAAAGAATAGTACTCGTGGCTGATTAACTAGATTCAGAGCTTTGTAAGTTTAGCCCACATTGGGGAGGTTTACTGAAGGAAGTGAGTCATCTTTGAGACTCAACAGCTAGTGTATAAAAGAGGAAAGAAAAATAAAATTAATCTAAAAACAAATTTGGGGCTTCATTGCTTGACTTACTGTACTCCGTTCCTGTCATCTGGGCGAGAATGCGGAAAGACTTGGACTGCAGATTGGCAGAACGGCGAGTCCAGTCGTCAAGCTCATCCTCAGACTTGTTCTGAGTTTTAAGCACAGCCTGATACACTGGAGAGGCACTATCTATGTGGGGATCTTTAACAGGAAGGCTACTGAAATGCAGAAAAGGGCTCATTATAAAACAGCACATCCCACTTCATGTTGCAGTTTCTACTCCAAAACAACCAACAACAAAAACCAAAAATATTGTTTTTGAAAATACCCATTTGCCTAAGAAATAAACAAATTACAGTAGATCAAAAACATGTGAATCGAGAACATTTCAGTTCACTTTGTCTTTAACATTCCATATTATTATTATTCAAACCAATATGTTTGCCAGTCTGTCCATGACCCCTAAGCCAACACAGCCACAAGATTGTGGTAGTAATAAATCAATATAAATCAATAAAGGATGGTCAGCAAGTCAAGATTACTGGACTAATTGAGTATTGTTACCCCTATAATTGTGCATAGTTAGTGCCTCATGTTGTGGAACTAATTAACTGACCCTAGAGTATATTCTTGCAGTTGTGGAAATGGACCATTTTATGGTTACACTGAAAAGGAGAAAATATATTTTGATTATAAAAAGTTAATTTAGTGCAGATTTTTTAATTCTTTCCAGGGGTAGGCTGGTACCAAAACGCTGAATCCAAACACTTCAGAACATTAGAAAATCTGGATTCAAACTTGAGGCTCAGACACTTCTCTAGTTATTTCATATTTCAAACCTTCATTATTAAACTATACCTAATGTTTATGATCCCTCTGATGACCTTGCACAGACTGTATAGGAAGAACCATTCAGTTTTGCATACCTAGAGCCCAAACTACAAAAGTTCATAAGACACCCTAAAGCACCAATTGAGTTAACCTCTAATTTGATTTATGATGCAAGTTGGAAGTAGACATGGTCATTTAATAGTTTTTTTTCTCATCAAAATAACTTTTGCATAGTGTGCAGTTAAATTTAATATTAATAGAGCTGCAGATACATACATTGATGGTGATGTGTGCAGTCATGTCATACCTTGGCTCCAGGACTCCTCTAAATACAAGATTATTTCTGAAGTGAGTGATTTACATTGTAACTGTATGATCCATGCCTTACAGAGCTTTGAAAGTGGCATGCTCGATGTCATGAAAATTGAGAAAAGCTATTTTAAAAATTAAGGGTCATATTGTCCAATGAGCTCCCTGCTATAAAGAGCAAGGAATCAGAGCAGCCACCTGTTATAAAACCTTCCTCTAAAGCCTAGGCAGTTGCCCAAACTTCCTACTTGGCAAGATACAATTCTCTAGAGAAGACCCACAAAAAGCAAAAATGGGGGTGTGGTTTGACAATGTGAGAGGAGTCAGGGAAAAGCCAAAGTAACTAGTATGGCACTGTGCAGACAATAGTATAATTTGCCACAGGAAAAAGCATTGCCAATTACTGGCGCTCTCAGCATAGCATAATATAAACCATATCAATGGATTTGTATCTGCAAATAGCATGGGGATGTGTGTGTTTCATGTCAGAATAGAATTACAGAATCGTAGGACTGGAAGGAACCTCGAGAGGTCATCTAGTCCAGTCCCCTGCACTCGTGGCAGGAATAAGTATTATCTAGACCATCCCTGAGAGGTGTTTATCTAACCTGCTCTTAAAAATCTCCAGTGATGGAGATTCCACAACCTCCCTAGGCAATTTATTCCAGTGCTTAACCACCCTGACAAGGGACTTGGAAACACTGTATTTAAATATGCCATGGATCCCTATTCCCTATATAAGCCAGTTTGAAAGAGCACTATAATGTATATGATCCCCTATGGACCCACCTCTAAAGGGGGTATTTGCAGCTGTTCCTTCCTCCCTCCCCCCCTTCCCCAGGATATGCTACCTTCCATCTTTCCTGAGGATCTGACAGAATGCTAGGAAGCAGTACACTAAGCTTACATTTCCTATTCTTTTGCACTTCTTACACAAAAGGGAAACATTCTTAACATAATGGACTAATTTTTCACTGTTGGACCATAAATTAGATTATACCCATAAAATGGCTTCAACCAGGATAAACCCTGCCACAATGCCCAGAGGTGAGCTGGAACGTCTGTCCAGTTGGAAGAGTGCAAGAACAGAAAGCTATAACCTCACTTTCGGTGTCTACCTTCTGTCTTTCTATAGTACCCATCACCATGGTATCTAAGTGCTGACAGGTGTGGGAACATTGGGGGACTAGCTCATCTTGCAAAGGTAGCACTGATTCTGAGCATCCCCTCTGTAGTCTCCACCAGCAGAGTTCCTGTGTGGCTCCAACTGTAAACTAAAGCTGCATCCTTCCCTCATCCCCATCCCCCTGCAGACCCTGAGGGAAGATAGGGGAGGGACAGCATCAGCCTCCTTTAACTGAATTTTCCATGTGGAACAGTAGGCCTTGCTAATGCAGGGAGGTATAAATTACACCTTCCACTGAGGCACTAGTGAATCAAGCCTTATATCAGAAACAGCCTTAGTATAAGGGCTAATGAAGAAATTTTGTAATGTGAATAGAAAGGAAAGAAATGAAGCCTACATTATAGTCATTCAATTGCCATGTCTCACCCCTCAAACTACTCTCCAAGAGAAGCATGAAAATAAAAAATATAAATAACATTGTATTCCTCACAGCAAATGATTTAGTAAAGGTTTCCAGTTAGGTGGTAACATTTTCATGTTTCCAACTACACTTTATAAGTTCATTTTTCTACTGAGTAAGCAGCATCTTTTGCTTTTTTACTGTAATGGATGACTGGCTGCCTATTACTGGCTAACAGATGATTAACTTTATATCCCGACTTACATTTTGATCCTGCTGGAGCTTAAAACAATGCTCTGTTTGATTGCAAATTTCACAGCTGCAGAATGATGGATACTGGATAATAAAACCCAGTTCATGGCTGGTACTGCTGACTTCAACTATCAGCTATGTGTTACTGTGGCAGTACTAGCATTTGGGTCATGGACAGATAGCCAGGTTCATTTTGCTAAATCCCCTACTTACACTGCTTTGTTCTAGTATTATGATGGATTTACAACAACAACAAAAAATTGATTAAAACTATAAATATAAAAATGCCCAATAGCTCAGATGTGGCTGTGCAGCAGTAGAGATTGGGTCTGAGATTTCAGAATAGCAATATGTATCAGGGTATATTAATATCTTTATGGCAGACAATAAAGACAGGAAATGGATTCTGGTGAATTAACCTTCCCTCACTGAATGAAGTGCCTCACTCTAAGTCAAACTAGGTTATCTAGTTGAGCAAAACATATCGGAACATTTCCAATTATGACTTTAATGCAACAAGCCTTTATCTTTGTTTGAGCCAGTAGGAATGGCAGTGTATAATCCAGAGCAACACTGTGGCTGGTTATGGTCTTTCCAAAAGCTTAGATGAGGCACCTGACTCTTTCAGAAAACTTGATAATGGAAATAATAAAAAAAAAGACTTATCAGTTACTACTATGCCCTTTCTTCATTTTAAAGTTTGTTTTCCTAGCGTGTGTGTGCACACAAAAAAATCTGCCCAAATAATTTAGGGCATTTTGCTATGATTGAATAGAAAATTATACCTTTGTTCACATCATTAGGTGGGTCATGCACTCACAGCAAAATTAATTTGCACCAAAATAAGATCTATAGACAATCAAACCTCTTTGAATAAGGAGTAAAGTGTCTGTGACTTTCTATTCATTATAAGCTATGGCTCAACAAGTGGACCATATATTGAAGTCAGTTCTTACTCAGGTAACAAAAGGTTGAGTAAAAGTTAAGTAAGGGCTTCAGGATTTGGGCCTTGATGTAAAAATACAGTTGAATTTCTATGAAGAAGGGTATTTGATCCATATAAATACTGAATGGATGGCATTTTGATTCCAATTAGTAACAAAAGCAATTACAGAAATTATCAAAGACTTATAAGGAATTGTAAAATAGCCATCCATTTTTGTTCATTATAAAGAAAATCTAGAGTCTGTTATTGTTGCTTAATTCAGTTTACACACTCAAAGGGTTAATTTCAAGTGCCGGTCTTAGCTGGGTGCAACTCTGCTGAAGTCACTGAAATTACACTTACATCTGGAGTGAATTTGGACAAAAATCTTTAATGACTTGTAAAAGAGGTTTGACTGAAATGTACATGAAACACGAGTACGAGATCTTATGGGCACCAACTCTTGGTTCTTGGTATATTCTGAGTTATAATACAATGACAGGAATGATGGGAAAAGGGCACACAGACAGGGCATTCTCACTCTCCTACCTTGATGTCCTGGCATGAGGGTTTGAATAATTCCAGTATAAATAAATTGATTCGGTATGTTTGAATGGTTTTCTTACATCAAACAACATGGGCCTGATGCTGATCTTACTTACCCCAGCTTTAACACCATTGACTGAAATGATTATATCAGAAATTGGCCCCAGACACTGAGTTTATATTTTTATTATTATTCATTTCTACACAAGCTTACACAATGCTTCAAGACTTCACATAGCAGAAATCGCCTATTATATTATTTCTCAAGCTGAACCTACACTCTTGAGATCTGAAGTCTGCATCTTCTTACTCTTTTACATACATGGGGCCAAATTCTCTGCAGAGAACTGAATCTAAAGGAGGACTAAAGGAGAATTTGGCTAACTGTTAGAATACCGCTTATACAGTTATTTTCATATTTAGCAGCAAAATGCTTATTTCAGGCTTGAACAAGCAAGGTGATGAATAGCCTCAACTCCACTGTAGTAAGCTGGAGTTCAGAATAGTCAGCATATCGCAGAAGGCACAAGCAGCACCCTGAAGGATCAAGCCAATGATATGATCAAATGAATATAATCCAATCACTGGCCAGGCCTTTACTTTTGAGATGATCTGATCAGAGAAAAGAGTAGAAGGTTTGCTTTAATGCCTAAATTTAAAGCATAGCATATAACCTACTGGGGAGAATCTAACATTCACTAAGTAAGAAGTTAGGAAGTTCACAAAAAGAAAGCTGTGCCAACAGGCTGCAGCCCTGAGCAAAGCATATTTAAAGAGCCGAGTCTGAGAACTCAAAGGATAGAAGCACTACTCTGATCCAGATTAATATTAGACTGAAGGCTTGTCTACACCGCATGGCAAAGCACTCTACAGGGGTGTAATTTGTAAAGGACCTAACTGCCCCGAGTAGACCTTGATGGAGTGCGCTAACGGTATGTCTACACTGCAATTAAAAACCCACAGCTGGCCTGTGCCAAATGACTTGGGCTCGCAGGGCTGTTTAATTGCGGTGTAGACGTTCGGACTCAGGTTGGAGCCAGAGATCTAGGACCATCACGGTGGGAGGGTCCCAGAGCTCGGGCTGCAGCCAAACATCTACACCACAATTAAACAGCCCCTTAGCCCGAGTCAGCTGGTACGGGCCAGCCACAGGTGTCTAATTGCAGCACAGACATACCCTAAGGCTACATCTACAATATGATATGTCTAGAATACATTACAATACATAGTGTACACATACTCGCACTCTGTATCATAGAGCTAGCACAAGTATAAACAGCAATGTAGCTGTGGTAGTGCAGGTAATGGCAGTGGACGCATAGCTTAGCCACACAGAGTATGTACCCACTCAGTGTTTTCCCTAGGAATTGAAATTTGGGGGGGGGGGTTTCGAATTTATGGGGGATCAGGGCCGATGAAGGGTGAGACCGTGAGGGTGAAGGTGGGCTGTATGGCACCATAGTAAAACCTGAAAAATGTTTCATGACCATTTTATTAGATTTAACTCATGTTTTAAAATCATCACACAAATTAAAGTTAGCTACTCAAGCCTTCTATGAAGCACTACATCTACATCCTTCTTGTTTTCCTGTTATAATTTTGCACAACTTTATTAATGAACTTCTTGAATGCAATGTGTTCATCTTTGGTGGCTTCTCATGTGTCCGGTACTTCCATTCCTTCAATTGATATGCTCATTAGTTCATTCACATGATCAGGCAGAAGGCGACTTCTTTCAGAACACAAAATTCTATTCAATGATGAAAAAGAATGCTCAACTGTAGCTGTTGTGACTTGGAGTAGCAAGAGATGTATACCTACTTCTTTCATCCCAGGAAACATAGCACAAAGATAGGGTCGAGCCTCTAGTGATGATAAAAAAGAAGTTGAAGTCAAATCTTCATTCATTCATCGTATGATATTCCACTCTGTGTTCAAATTCTCTATTCTGTCCTGAGCACATGGCAGCCCCATTGCTGGTAATGCCTCACTCCACTCAACTGTCAGTGTTTTATAGGACAGGAATCTGTAAAAGTTATGTAGAGGTTAAGTAGAATCTAGAAGTCGCTGCTGTGGATTTTTAAGAATCAAGTCTGTGTATTTTTTCAGTTGTCTTAACAAACATTTCTTGTCCTCTTCACTTAAGGATTCAATATAAATGCCTTCATTAGTCAACTTCTGGACTGAAGTCTTTGCTTCTTCCAGTACTTTTTCAACGGATAGCTCTCTGATTGATCCAAATGTAGCTTCTCTTGCTGGACAAAGATCTACTATTGTTATAGCAGATGCCTGGATGGCATTCTTTAATGACCCAAGTGGTTTCAACAGTAGACTTACAAGAGAGAGAATGGCAATAGTCTTCTCTGAACATAGTAGCAAAAGTAATCCACCAGCCTCACTACTTAGATCCATCCCATCTTGGTAGATACTTTGCAAAGCCAGTGATAACGGTTAAGACAACGGCTTAAGACAACAGTCAAGGATCACTCATGAGAAAGCCGGCGGGTTTTCCCAGGTTGGACTAATTTGAACTTCAGTCCCAGAGTATCTTCTATATTTTCCAAAAAGAACGAGGAGTACTTATGGCACCTTAGAGACTAACAAATGTATTTGGGCATAAGCTTTCGTGAGCTAAAACCCACTTCATCCGATACATGCAGTGGAAAATACAGTAGGAAGATATATATACACAGAGAACGTGAAAAAATGGGTGTTGCCATACCAACTATAACGAGACTAATCTATTAAGGTGCATTCATCAGCCATATATGCAAATGTTTTGAATGTGGTGAGAGAGTTCTTCACTTTTTCAACTGTTGAGTCTTTCACTGTTGCACCACATGCTTCTAGCCAGTCAGTTGAGTTTCTTGCAGAAAGACAGTGAGCATTTGCTGGTCTTGTTCGGAACCAGTGTTCAACTTCAGGATGAACAAGTGACAATGCACTTAACATTTGCCTCTAGTTTGTAGTGTGTGGTATCTCTTGCTTAAATAGAAAGTATGATGCTACAGCCATGTTTGTTCGCATGAACTGTGTTGTGTCTCCAGCATTCTTAACAGCCTTGTTAACACTCACCGGTTTTGTCCTTGGTCAGCGGAGACTCAGAGTTCAGAGGTGCTTTCACATGAGTTCACCTCCCGGGGAGGGGAGGGCGAGAAGGCACCTTGCTCATTCCTCCAGCTGCTCACTGTTCGCTCTGGCCACTGTTGTTCATTGTGCCACCGTTCACTCCTTTGCTCTGTTGCCATGGCCCTGTGCTGTCACCTTCTGCTGCCACCTGCCACTGTGACCTCTGCGAGTTGGGCTCTTGAGGTTCCGCCCAGCTCTCAGTGATTTCAGCTGAGCTCTCAGTGGGGGAACCTCGCTGCTAGTGCAGACTGGGCCATCTCTTCCACATAAACACTGTCCCACAGCAGGTCTATGCACTTAGACCTGATTATCAGTGATTTCAGCTGCAGTGATCACTTAACAAAACAAAAGACTATCCATGGAGCCTAATCAGCTCTGTCTTTAAACAGTGGAGAGGAGCAGGTCAAATAGTACTTGTGACTCAGGCAGACCATCAAGCAAAACACCTGTCCCCACCCTCTCTCTTGATGCCCTCAATCTGCACAGGCTAAGTACAGTTCTACTGCCCTTTACTCATACAATAAGAATAGCAACATTTCATCCCCCCCCCTCCCACACACACATTCAAGTGATTTTTAACCCAACCCCAGCCAAAGTCTATCAGTTGGGCAACACAGCTCTGTTTGCTGGATACCTAGATATAGTAGGTGTGATTGTAAATACAATCTGGTCCTGCAGCCTTTCCCCCAAGCTCATCACTAGTTGTCAGGGAGAGCTCATTTAGAATTTGCTTACAAATCATAATTTGAAATTATTAAATTGGCCAAGATCACTGAAATGAACGCACTATGACATTGTCATAAAAAACAACATCTGTATAAGGAAGCTAGTCTATGTTCATACTTTTCAATCAATTATACTTTTTCAGATACATGTATTTTATCATACACTTTATATGCTTTAAAAGTGTGTATTAATGTTTCAATTTCAATTCAAATTTCCAAACAATCACTAAATTGGCAATACTGTATATAACTAGTTCACAAAACTGGGGGAGGGTGTTGGGGAAATTCAGGGGGGGTGTACCCACTGGTTTCAGGTGGGTTTGTACTCTGCATAGCTAAGCTGTGCCTCTGCTGCTGCTGCCCCTGCTACCATGGCTACACTAACCGATGTGAGCTAGTGCTCATATGTCCATGAAAGCAGGGGAATAATCATGTCTAGCTTGTAGTGTAGATGTAACTTAAAAGGTACCTAGTTTGTGTTAACATAGGAAAGAAAGAGGACTATGTTAACACAAACTACGTACCTTTTAGAGTATGCCAGCAGGGTCTCTACAGCGCAGTTAGAGCACAACATGTTAGGATGCTTTATAAATCACACCCCCATAGAGCACTTTGCCGTGCTGTGTATACAAGCCCTCAGAAATCACTCTCCAAAGATGAAGGAAATGCTTCAATGCTAGTTCATATAGTGTAGCTTCCAGATTAGCTTTCTACTTGAGGTAACAGAGGAGGATTATTTCATGGGCGTATTTCCAAAAAGTAACAGTTCACTAAAACTGCCTGATACATAAAAATAAATGTCAGTAACTATTTAATTTCTCAAATTTAAAATTTAATATACAAAATGGAAAAAAAATTGGAACAAAGCTTCTGCTGATGTCAACTGGCATAGCTCCACTGACTTCACTGGTGCTACGTCTTATGTAAAACAAGAGAAGGGCTGACTCCTGGCTTTTTATCTAGATATGTTTATTTCCTTTTGTTTCCTTTCCAGCTATATTTACCTTTACTCTAGTGTTCATCATTGGACCCTTTATCATTACTCAGCCTGCCCATGTCAGAATTCTCTAACACTAAGGAATATTTAAATAAGTACACACTTTTCCCCTCCCATTAGAAAATACATTGAATTCTCATGTCCATCTGCACTTAGTGGAATTCTTTCATCTTATCTGGGATTTTCTGGAAGGGTCAGTCTCTCCTTTCTGTGAAGCATCAGGGACTGGCCTCATATAGGAGAGGCATATTGGACTAATGGTCTGATCCAATATGGCAAATTCTTTGTTCTGAACTGCATTTGACAGATCTCATTTAAGAGCCGTCTATGAAATTACCAGGACTTCACATGCTCAACAGTGAAACTTTATAACTATGAGACTGTCTAAATGGCAGTTTTAAAGAGATATGATTTGTATTGTATGACTTTGCAAATACAATAAAATGCCTCTAAAATCCATATATATGAAAGAAATGAACCTTTTTAAAAGAACACACATACACTGTACTTCTTTCATTGTGTTCAGCTAAATGGAAATATGGATCTACTTACGCCAATGGAGATTCACTGTGAGTCATATGGTCAAAACCCAACAAAAGGCATTGTGCGGGATCCATCATTATGGAGCATTGGGATGTGCACAACAAAGTAATGTTAGTATCAGAAATTAGTGAAGAAAAGGATTGAATAAAGAGAAAAGAAAAGAAATGATCAATAAAAGGGAGCACAAAGAGATACATAAAAATGTTAGCACTTTGAATAAGCTCACTGGTTATCCCCTCAATGTCAACTATGTTAAAGGTACAGCACACATTTCTCCTTCCCATACCCATGAAAAAAGTGAAAAGTATGTATTTGGATCAACAGAGTATCTTGTCTGTCTTCACCACTTTCTTTATACACAAACCTCTATCTGTCTGCTCAAGACAACAAAAGAGAGGGGTCATAATCACCCAACTCTGGTTTAAATCAGCAGTTGGGAGAAATTATTAATTTTTAGTGATGCATACAGTATTGCGGAAACATCATTTTTAGCTTAAATATCTTCTCAACTGTGAAATATGCAAACTCCTGTTTATCCTAAGTTAGAGGTTTCAATTAAACAGCAGTCATTAAATATAAATCCCAAAGCAGGATAACATAACATTGGGCTTCATTCTGAAAAACATCAAACAATAACCAGTAATAAAAATGCATCTTACATTCTTTTTATACCAATGACAAATGCTCCTCCATTTTCCTTGCCTGTTGTGCTATGTAATCAATGCAGTTATTAGACTGAAAGTATGGTTGTTATAATAGCCATTATTAAGACAATACCTATCCATATTTCCAACTCCACAAACCTTTTCTCCAGGTGAAACGTACTAAGTTGCTCTTTATTAACATTCTGATAGCAATATTTTACTTGAGTAACCTTAGCCCTTATGCTTTAACAGCAACCTGTTTCTCTGAGTTTGATGATGGATATAATAAAAAAATTAAACAAAACCGATGATCTGCTGTCACTTATACCAATGTAAAACCAGGAGAACTTTGCTGAAGTCAGTGGAATTACTCTGGATTTACACCCAAGTAGCTGAGAGCAATATTCAAATCACGGAGATTAATTTAACAGTTTGCACATCAACTTAAAAAAAGTGCTGCCAATTTCCTTACTAATAATATTTTTACTCTCCATTTTTGTAATACCATCTTAGAGGCTTAAAAAAATTTCTTTCCCTATCAAGTTTGCATACTTTCCAGTTTCTCAATGCTGAAAAGTACAGTATATTTAGTTCCCATTCCATGTGTGGAACCCACAACCATATCAGAGGGAAATGAATGGACAGGCTAAGGGCAAGATACGCCCCCAGTAATTTCTAACAATTTTTTCATAGGTCAAATCTGGGGCTTACCTTACCTGACAAAGCATCTCTCACCAAGGGTAACCATGGAACAGATTGAGAGAGTCAAAATAACTTTTCTTTTTTGCTTCAAGTACCATATATAAAATGGCCTGATTCCACCACCATTACTCTCACTGAACTGTGCCTTAGTCTGTGAGTAGTCTCATTTACCTAGTGAGAGTAACTGTGGCAGAATCTGGCCTGACGTGAAAAAGCCACCGAAATAATGCGGATATTTGCAAATAGCTAGTAGCAGGATTTTTTGGGTTTTTTTTTTAATGACTACAGCTCATCCCTCACCTCAGAATGTCTTCTGCTACCAAGTGAGAACCATTTAGTTTTACAGACAAAAACCTCTCTGTATAACCATGTGGGATTTCTCCAAGTCATCAGAGTTTCCAAATCTAGGAAGAATACTGAAAAAGGAATTTTTCTATTCTAAACACCCCTCCTCCTTTTATCTTTCAAAGGATGTAATTCCACCTCAAAATATTTAAAGAAAACACCGATCTGTATTTTTCAGTGCAGTGCATAAAGATACTTCCTCCTTCCCCTGCAAAATCCAAACAAACAAACAAGGAGAGAAAAAGGATGAGAGGAAGGATTCATATATCATGCAGATAGGTGCCATTTTACACAAGAAAAAACCTTACCCAGCAAGTTCACCACCTTGGGCCTGTGCCTGGCCTGCGATGGCATCCATGATAGCATCCTGGGAATACATGCTGATCGGGGTGTTATACTGGGCATGAATTATAGTGGCCTTGCCACCCGGGCCTTTCACCTCAATGGGTTTGTGTGTAGACAGGGCAGAGTCCTTCAGGACATTAGGGTTGAAGCGTTCCACATACTCAGTGCTGGGGTTATGTGAGAGTGAGGTTTGGAGAAGAGACAAAGGGAGAAAGAAAAGAAAATAAGGACAAACAGGTGATAATTATAAAAAGAATAAAGCAGCAGCAGAGGAATGCGTGCATGTGCCTAAGACATCTCACCAGAAAAGCATCTGTTCAGACTGCTGGAGAGAAAGAACACAATGTGTAAGGGATAACATTAACAAGGAAAGTGGTCAGGGGATAGACTATAGAATGAGGTTTTTGTGTTGGCTGATAGTTTTGTAAACTTGAGACAGTTGCAGCCACAAAACAAAAATTATGGCAAATATAGCTGTTATATATACATATGTAGGTACATCTATGTCTACACCCAAAGAGCTCCCCATGTATTCCTTCAATCTTTTTAGAAAGATCTTCTAAGGTACTAGAAAGTTTAATGAGTTGAAATAAACATCTGCTTCTCTCTTATGCAGAATTACATTTTTTTCTATATGGATAATTCATCATGGTGCTATTTAGTACTCATGCTTTTCATCTTCACAGCCCTTTGCAGATATTAACAATTTAATCCTTATAGCACCTCTGTGAGGAAATGTGGAGGTTACCAAAATATGTAACCACTACAGGATAAATTTATTGCAAGGTCAGTCCTAAATCGGTCTACATCACAGTCGATAGGACAATTGTACTCATTATCCTGAGATAGTTGCCTATTGTGACCTCCATGTGGGTAAGGATTTTTATTAGGGAAAATGAGGCACAGGCTGTTTAGGTGACACACTCAAAATCATGGAGGGAATCAGTGTCAGAGCTAGGATTTGAATGCCAGGGTTCCTCACTGTCAATCCTAAACTTAGATCATTAGGCCATGACTCTCAGCATCTTGGTAGACAGTGTTATACTCCTAGAGTTTAGCTTACGTTTTTCCAAGTAACGTTTTAAATCGGATCTTCGGTCATTTAATTAACTGCTCTTGGCTACCATATGGGACACCAGGGTTAAATTCTCATCTGTCACCCCCACCTCCTCCCTCAGCCCACCAAGAAAATAAAGTGTTTGGGGTGTTTCAGACACTATATGCTCATTCCTGAATGGTAGGGATTGCTTCACAGTGCTCAGCAGCAACTCTTCCAGTTTACTGAGCAACAATGAAGAAAAGGAATCTGCAATATTCATGGCAGGTCAGAAGGATCGGGCCACAGTATGGGCCTTTTAGAGTGTTTGTTAATAGAAGATGCCCCCTCAATCATTAAAGGAGAGAGAAGAAAATCAAGGGGGTGAAAAACTCTTCCCACAAGTTGTGAAGACTCCCAGCAGACAACTGACTTGAGACTTGCGCTGATTATCATAGGTGATCTGCTCTCCCATGCAATGGATTCCAACTCCTGTAACAGCCTTTTGTTTGGTGAGATGCCTTTACTGAGGCCAACAGGAGAGAGATAGTTGTGCATTTTTGCAGCAATATTTGAGAAGAGCACTGACAGTAGCATGCAGCAGGGACAGGTGCATATAGATGCACACATACCTTATTGCAAACACAGCCCTGCAATACATGCATAGACATTTTGAAGGAATTAAGAAGCTTCATTATGCATTCGGTACAAATAAAAAACATGCATTTATTTGAACATTTTCACCATTTTAAATGTCTCTTAATTAACATGTTTAATAACCATGATAACATTAGTCTATTGATACCATCTTGTAGAATGACTCTCAAAGAAAGAGAGACTGCACATTATGCCTACTATTGGCTTCTGAAAATCCCCATGTTTTGTTATTGAGGTGACTTCTCTTATCCCCACAATGTATCAAGCCATCAGAGAGCAGTTCGGAATTCATAGACCCTGGAGATCATTAATTCAGTGCTCTCCCTCTTTTCCATTAATAGGAGAAGGAAGACTCAGTGAAGGCATCAGTTTACCTAAACTGAAGCTGCAATTTGTATGAAAATATAGTCCAAATCAATCCAAAAAAGGGCTAGAGGTCTCAGGGATGCTTAGGCTCGCACAAAAATTACTGATTTCGGTGTTGGAATGGGGAATTGAAGCAATTTCACTGCTCTCTTAACAGTCCTTCGCAAGGCAAAACATCAATTGAAATCAATAGGCATTTCCATAGAAAGAACTAGAAAAGGTCTCTTTCAACTGCAGAGTTTCTACTGCAATGTCGTGTTGGGAGGGGAGGAAATGTTAATGTCAATACAGGATGCTCAGTGCAGGACCCTTTGGCACAGGTGAGGAGTCAATTCTAGCAGGAGCAAGAAACTAAGAGCTACAAATCTGGGATCTCTGCAAAAGATAATGCTGACAGGCATTCAGCAGATGTGCAAAATTTATACAGCTTGGTAGCAGAACTCTGGAAGTATGACGGGAATGTAACAGAAGAGTGTAAGATAAAATAGAGCCCATACTTTGATTTCTGCTACATCGGCCCTACAACTCCAGGGAAAAATTCAGTCCTAAGCGTAAGTGGGAAAAGGCTCCTCTGACTTCAATGGAAGTTTTATCCATTTGTTCCTAGCTACATTAAGGGCTTAATGTGGGCACCACACACTGCCAAATCAGTGTAAATTACACTTATGTTGCTCACCCTCTAAACGCCAATTCAAGTTGAACTACTCTATCATTTCCACCCATCCTCTTATCAGTTAAACTTGACATTTAACTTGCTTCATCATTTACTTCGCTGCTGAATTTATCCCAACCTTGAGTTCCCATCAGTTTCTGGACTTCCAGAATGTTGCATGGGCAAGAGCAACTTTCAATCCAGAGAGGTCAAGCAGGAATTCAGAAGGGATCTTTCTGCTCTCTCCTCAAAATTGAAGGTCAAAGTTGAAGGGGAGTTGGGGGAATTTCCCTGCCTAAAAGCTGATGGGTCAGATCCTCAAGTACATACTAACTCCTTATTCAGGCAGAATTCCCGCTGAAGAAATGTACGTCTTAGATATTTAAAACCCAAGAGCTAAACGTTGAAGTCAATGGGAATTTGACTGGAATTGGACTTCAAGATTTGTATCTATCTCCTGAAGCTAAAAATACATCGGTAATTATATAATAAAAAGCCTTTAGCCAAAGCCCACAAAATCCAGGGGGGATGAAGACTATTGGAAGAATTAAGAAGAAATGCATGTATGACTTCAGGGAATTAAAAAGATCTGAAAAGCTCTTCAAGAGCTGAGCAAGTTCCAATCCAAGTTACATTTGCAAAGTTAGGATATCAACATGAAATTCTAAACAAGCAGGAGAGTTTCAGAAATATTGTTAGACTAGAACCACTTCTGGATATAGTAGCCATGTATGATGCCTGCTGTGCCAATCTGGTCTTTTTCAATGCTTTTACCTTGCAAATAGACACAGCAAGAACATATGGGCTCATGCTACCCCAGAAAACAAATCCCCAAACATACAGCATAACACGTACACACTATTTGATACTAACTTGGCAGCAGTGTTGGCTATGACCTAGGGAAGAGAGAAAGAACAAACAAACAAAAGGAACAATAGTTTTAGCATGTCAAGGGCAATATGTATTAACAAGGGTTTATAAAGCTTTATCAAACCATCTACAAATAGGAATAGAAAGCAACGGTATGCCTAAAAAACCACAATGGATTTAGAGAGAGGAGAAATGTAGGGATTATAGTTTATCCACAGAGACTTACTAAGGTACCAAGGCATTCTGGCTGATCCTTGACAACATTTTTATTACTGTGCATCACTGGAAGTATTGTTATTGAGGGTTACAGAAGCAAGGAAGCAGAACTATTTGCAGGCTGTATACTCCTCTTGAAATAACACGAGTGGGAGAGATTATATCCTCCTCCCCAGACACTAAATATTCATATATGTAATGCCAGTCCCATCAGCCTGGCCCCGTATAGTCAATCCAGTGAGCAGGATCTGCTGAAGAATATCCAAAGAAAATATCAACAGATATTTGAAGGAAAAAGCCCCTCTACTTAACACATTACTGACCTGAATCTGATCTCACTTATATTGGTTTTACAGTGGTGTATATCAATTGATTTCAGTGGTCACTCCTGATTTTACACCAGACAAAGTTAAAAGCTAATCAGCCATGTAGTGGGATCAGTTGTCTCCCATGCAATCCCCTGTGGCCAGGGAAGCCTCTGTGGTGCCCTGCTAACAATTTTTCCCTCCAAGGGCTTTTTAAACTCAACAAAGGCTTTTCTTGTCCATTCAGTACCCCTTCTTGAGGGTCCAAGTTTAATCACATAAATAAAGCTTCAAAGTAAAACTCAGTGTCCAAAAATACAGTCCATCATTTTTAACCTTTTGTCAGGTCACTCCCAGGCTTTTCCTACTTTAAATTGCAGTAGTGAAACCCCACGTCCTAGGTATTTTTGCTAGAGCCTGCTCAGTCCCCAACAGTCTCCAATTTACCATACTACCAGACCTTCTTGACTGAGGCCTTTCCTGTCTTTGCAGGCCACTCCCAGACCCTGCTTAGCTGAAGCCTTGCGCTCAGGTCTAGAGCCACAGATTTCTGCTTTGGCTCCAACCGCCCTGGCATCAGGGTCGTCCTTGCAGAAGCCTTTTTTATTTCCTGAGCCTCCTCCTTCTCTGCTGCCCTTCATAAGAAATTACATGAGCCAACCGAGGTGTGCCCTTTTGGTAATCACGGTTGGCTAGCCCAAAGCCCTCCAGTCCTTTAGGAGCAAGCCACTCTGTTACAAGGCCTGAGAGCATTAATTTTGTAGCATTAATATTGTGTCTTTTTGAGGTCAGTAACGACATAATGCAGGAAAAAACAATATTTATGTAGCATTGTTCTCCACTGCATTAACAATAACTGGTTGTAGCCTGCCGAGCAATTGGATGCTCATTTTCACATAGTCTTTCTCAAAGCTTTGAGAACATGAATCTTTGCCCTCCTTCTTGCCCCATCCCTCTGGATCATGGATAGCAGATCATGTCTGTGACCAAGGAAAAAGTGGACAAGATTCCATGCAGAGATAGTCAACAGCATTATTTTCTAATTGGCTACATAAGACACTTTTGATAGATCTGGGCATCATCATCTTCCCAGTTGCTTCTGCAACCTTTCCAGCCTTGGGAGTGAATCTGGGTCTCCCACAGAGCAGTGCTGAGCAGCATTACGACTGGATTGGCCCACAAGTTAGGTTTGGTTCCCCCTGCTTTCATCTCAGTGACTCTTTGGAGTAGCTTCTTCTTTACATAAGGCTTTTCTGCAGCTCTGTCACCCAAGTTTATTTTTAATTAACAAAAAACTGTGCAGCGAGCCAAAGCTGTGGCATGGGGCTCTATGCTGTTGCATTTGTCTGGACATACAGTCACAAAATGCCTTTTTTTCCAGTGTCTGCCCCTCAGATTCTCAGCTTTGAGAATATTCTGCCAGCTTTGTAAACCATGCAATGAGCCAAATATATCTGTCTTTTACAGGAATCAGTAGAGATATATTAGGAACAAGTTGTAGCCTGTAAGCAGATCAGTGATTCTATATCCATTTTAGGTATGTGCAAGACAGCTGAGCAATCGCTTACAGTGAAACATGGTGTAATAGTATCATTTTCTGAAGTGAACTCTGATGGCTATTCTAATCCTCTCAACCATGTCTGTGCATAGAAAACAATATTTTTAAGGTAGAACTGGAGTTTGTAAAATACCCCTTAAAAGAGAGAGCAACCAATTCTTTGATGGTGGAGTATGAAGAACATGCACATGTAAACCATGTTTCATAGACAGAAAAAATACTGTGCACACATTAGTCTTCTGAGAAGTGGTCAATATCCTCAAATCTCAGCAAAGATTTTTCCGACCTAAACAGATTATCACAGCTCCCTCAAGCTACAGTAAAGCTTAGCCTCTCTTGATATGCTGGGTTGAGATGATAAAATTTTCTCCAGCTCAGTCCCACACATCATTTTAGTTTATTTCTAAATATGGGCAGGTACTGAAATACGCAACCTGCTCACTCAAAGATGCCACAGAGTAACAAGCTGGTAACCCTACCCCCCTGACACACAAAAACATGCGGGACAGGTATTTACTGCCCTAGCCAAAGACGTGCAGAATAACACAGGCTGGAATGAGAATCCATACATGAGAATCTATGACTCATTCTCAATCTGTGTTAATGTTCCCCATTGCAGAACCTTTACTCCATTAAGATCTGCTCCTGACACTGTAATAGGCAGTCCTGCAAAAAATGTTCACCCTTGCCCTGTGATAAGCCCTTAATTCCAGAAGTGCATAAGAGGAGTAAGGAACTGGGAACTCAGTAAGAGACAGAGAAATCAATCCAATCTTCCTTTGCGCTTGCTGACAGAATTTTAACAAGGGGCTCCCCAGAGTCCCCTTCAATATAGCACTGGATCTGTTTAGATGTTTCACAGGATACAAGTTAAAAAAAATCCCAAACATTTAAATATAAAATACACCTGGGATCTACCTGCCTATGTAGGTTCTTATACAGTATCACTTATAGACTAGTACCAATCAGAGTCAGAGCTGACCTTGCAGAGCCTGTTTTGCTTATGCACATGTACTGCTTTTTATGAATGTACAAACCCAGAAAAACAGAGAATCATGGATAACATAAGCACTAAACCTCTAGCAGGTCCCAAGAAAGCTAGTATTCCTTTTTAGATTGCAGTCCACAGGGCTTCTCACTTCATGGATAACATACAAGTGGAAATGGGGGCCCGGGAACACTGAATCTTCACAACATGCTACCATTACAGAGACACTTGTGCTGAGTAATTTCAGGCTGTTTGTACTTTGCTGAGTGCTTAACAGCTATCAAAACAGCTCTTTCTTTCCCAGGGAGGGGTCCATTAACTGTACATGATTTTTCATATTGCCCCGTTTATTTATATGTAAAAAAAGGAGGCAGAATTGGCTATAATTTATGAATATGTTACAGCTACTCACACAAAAGCACCCCAAAACCATATTCAAATTCAGAATGAAATCTCAGGTGTGGGTACCATGATAAAAGCTTTAGCTTTGTTATTGGGAGTCTTACACTTAAACTTGGAAAGATTCAATTTTTATTGGTAAATGTCAGTAAGTTTTGATGTAAACACACACTCTGATGAAAAAAATATTTCCATTAGTAATAATCCAAATTTATAGCTTAGCAATGTAAGAAAGAAAAGTGCTGCTTGAGAACTGTTAGAGTTTGATTTAAGGATATTTCCTTTGTATATTTTGACACGTCACGTTGACAATTTGTGTTTTAACGATTATAAGGCTTTAAATTTTTGAATCTCAATGCCTACGGTAATTAAATAACTGTTGTCTGACACCCCTGCCCCAATTTCCTGCAATTTTGCACAATGGTGAAAATATAAATTGAAAAAAAAAATTACAATGTTTAAAAATAAATATCAATATTATCCATCCAAATTATAAAAAAATTAAAATTGAATTCTGCTGAGCCGTCTTATGCTATGTCTCAGTATATTACCAGCAGGTCACAGATGTGCACCAAGAGGAGCTTAAATTATTTTGTGAGAGTGCTTGTGCATATATGTGGGAAGAAGTGGCACATATACAAAGGCAGTGCTATGAAGTAGGGGGATTACTGTGGAGCTGGTTCAGTGTCCATATTTTGTTTGCCTCCTTAAGGACAAATGCTTCTATTATGTGGCCTGATCCAACGCCTATTGAAATCAATGGAAAGGCTCCTACTGATGTCAATGAGTAGCAGATGCAACCCTATAGTGTGTATTTTTTTGTAATAGTACATAGTAGGAATACTCAGGCAGTTCATCTGCCCAAAATTTACCTAAAGGCAATTACAAGGAGAAAGGTTAACAAGGGATGTGAGGAGGCCAAGACAAGGGAGGTAAGATGTGCTACCGAGGAGCTGTGAGCGCTAAAGCAGGGAGAGAAATGATACTTTTCATCATGAAAAATGTAAATGAAAACAAAAGCTTTTTTTGGTCTGTTTCTGCTGAAAAATGTCTTTGAATTTAAGTCTCTTATAACCAAATGTAGACAGCACTTTTGAGTTTACAGTGCTAGGGCTTGATTGTGCTAGTGAGCGCTAGGCTCACTGTCTTACATCTTGTGTAGTCATTTACACTAATGCAAACTGAGTGCATACTGGTGTAAAACACTATCAACTCAGAATAATAGCATTTTACATCCACTTTGCTCTCATGTAAGTGACTATGCAAAGTACTGGGCAAAGGAGAATCAGGCCCCTATTGTATTTTTCTCTTGCTCTCAGCCCCTCATTTTGTATATTATATTGAGCTAAAGGAAAGCTTTGGTGACTAAATTGTGTCTCAGGGAAGTTTTCCCTTTATCTACCTGTTAATATACTTCTGCATTGTTATTTGAAATACTCTTTTCCTTAATCAGACCTTAATTATCCAAACAGAAAGGCGGACATGGGATTTATTCAGATAAGGGTGCTGAAAATTCCTTGTTTTTCCTAAAACACATTGGGAAACATGACTTCATTTCAG